AATTGCAAAGATGCACAATTTACAGCATTGCATTCTCTGACATTTTCTGAACTTTACATGCCAAATTTATAGCTCGATATGGTATTCTACGCGTAGACAAAAGAATGTACTTTAATTTAATATAAGTTTCATTAAAATCTAATCATTCTTAGTATAAAAAATATTTACAGAAACTTTTCAAAGGAATATCAGAGATTGCAATGCGGTAAATTGTGAATCTTTGCCATTTCTTTTGAAAAATTTTGGTAAATATTTTGTATATACTAAAAGTGAATAGATTTTAATGAAACTTATATTAAATTAAAGTACATTCTTTTGTCTACGCGTAGAATACCATATCGAGCTATAAATTTGGCATGTAAAATTCAGAAAATGTCAGAGAATGCAATGCTGTAAATTGTGCATCTTTGCAATATCTATGAAAAGTATTGGTAAATATTTTTTATAAATAAAATCATTAATTAAAAAAACTAAAAATAGGAATGATTGCAATTTTAAAGATGTACACAAATTATAAACGAGTATTCTACAAAAAATTGATTGATGAATTTATTATTAATCGCATGTTACATTAAATTAAACTTTTTCAGTTAATCTTTCACAATAGCATCTTCAATAATTACAATTAAAATGAAATTTTCATCTCTAAACATAGGGGGGAATTTATATTTGAAATATTTATTATAAAATATCAATATGATCGTATAGATATTTAATCATATCATTTAAAAAGAAACACTTTGTGTGTGTGTGTGTTGCATAATTAAAAGTTTCATCATTTAGGTAGACAATATCCAAACTTCAATAACATCAAAATGTTAATATTAATTTGATTAGATCATTTTCACGATAATATCAAATTCCATTTTAAGTTTCAGCAATTTTTCGTAAAGTAAAACGTAAGAAAATGTTATTTTATTATTATTATTATTATTTCTACATAGGAAGATAGTATTTTCGTGAAAATTTTGAAATTTAAGTAAAACGTAAACTGGACGTTTCATACAAGAACGATCAAGATTAATGTTCTTTCGCTTTCGAAATATTACACTCTCGCTTATCGAAAATCGATAATCGAATGGTAACGAAGAAGAAGAAGAAGAAGAAGAAGAAGAAGAAGAAGAAGATTTCAACGTTTCCGTTCGTAGCATATAGAACGAGAGACTCACGCGAGAGCATTCATCTGCGAACGAATCAATCTCCGTGGAATTTCCTCCACCCACTTTTTTTTCCTACTACCCTCCCCCTTTCCCCCTTCCCTCCTTCCCCATCCCCTTCTCCCCGCCCTTCCATATTCGTTTGCCCTATTAACCGAATTTCGAAAAAAAAAAAGAAAAAGAAGATGATTTTTATACTTCATTTCAGCCAATAGAGAAGGAAATATATGAACTACATTTTTTCCCTTTCGAACCCACTTGGGTTTTTATACTATGTGCAACTTCTAAAAATATTTGATTACTAGAATATGAGATGAATTTTTTAGCATCGTATTTCGGTTGTTTATGATGTAACCATTGCTGGTTTATTTCTTTTAGAATTAGGTTATTTATTTAATATTCTGGTGTAAGGAAATATATAATTTATTGAAAGATTTTTTACGTATAAATATCATAAGTTTTATATGATCAGTTTTAGTTGTGATTATACGAGTATAATTCGTCATGCGAAAAAATGTTTGTTATTTATTAGTTACTTTTTTTTTTTTCTTTTGATTGCAATTTTAATGAAATTTAAAATATATAATTGTTAATTTCAGGATGATTAAAATATTTGGAAACTATGTGACGAAACAAAATTAATAAAAAAAAGAATATATGAATAAATGTAAATGGGATGTGTAAAGATTTAGAATTTTATTTTGTTTTAAAACAAAAAAATATTAAAATTATTGTTTAAATATTAAATTAAATTAAATATCTGACAAATGAAACGTAGCTTGAATATATTTATGACCAATACTTAAAAATGCGACATTATATAAATCAATAATTTTAAATATGTAATGTAGAAAACAAATATTGAAAATGAATTATTATTTTACGATTATCAAAATTAATAAAAGATCCATCGATAAAAACAATAATCAGAATGATTTCTTTGTAAACAACCGAAATATGAAATCATAAGTTAAATCATATAGTAGTGTCCGAATTTTTTTAGGACACACCTGTGTACACACTCAACTGTTATTTTAACAAAAAGGGAAAGTTTTTTTTCTGTTTCTAATTTCCTTAACTTATATTAAACCTATCTTTTATTAAATATCTTATAAATTATGACAACATCGTTATATTGTTTTCTTATATATATATTAATTACTTGAACCTCTGAACAAGTAGAAAAACTTTCACATCGAAAGATAAAACCAATCATACTTTCCAAAGCTACGATAACTTATATAATTATGTAACTTAAATCAAGCAGGAAGAAACTTTTTCTGATGTAGATCATAGGAAAATAAGTTATTACTTACCGGACTGTTATTAAGGGTGAATGACAGACGTGCCGTTGGTCTTGATGCTGGTAAAGTACAATTTGCTCGTAGAATATCACCAGGATCGTAACGTTCACGATCGGATACGATAAAGGGCTTGCCTTCTGGTAAAGCTGAAATAATAATCAAAATTAATATCAATCACATTCATGCTCCAAATAAATTATACGTTTCATTAGTACATAAATTCAATATCTTTATTTCTCTCTTTCTCTATCTGTTTGTTTTTTCCTCTATCACGTATACATATTCTTCAAATTGTATTATTATATTACAAAAATTATATATAGGAGAACTTTTATAATAAATTTTTTATATATTTACTATTATTAATAATAAATTTAATCTCTCCGATTGGAATGAATTAAAAGTATTATTGGTATTTTCACTCTCTTTGTGTGAGGCATGGTGAGATTAAAATTGTCCCATCTTTTTGATGCACCGTAATGCATGGTGGGACATTTTTAGTCCCATCTTGAAATATTGTAATAACTGCATGCGCATAAGCACAGTGAGACTATTTAAATCCCACCCTATAAGAAGAAATTTATTTAAACTATTACTATTTTTGTTATGTTTTTATATTATGTGATACCTTTATTAATAAAAATATAACAATTTTGTTACATTTAAAACATAATAAAATGTCTATGCAACATAGGACTATTTAATTATATAAAATCCTGTGCCGTAAAGAGTTAACTTTAGTCATCTTAATTGTTTAATTAAATATTAGAAACAATATCGGAAAGAAATACAAACTAAAAGATTTGAGATTTAAAATTTTCCATAGTAAAATCGTTAGTATGTTATTATATTGTTAAATATTTGTTTCTTTTTGTCTTCCATTTTCAGGCACACATATTCTTCAAATTGTATTAGTATATTACAAGAAGTATATATGAAACGTTTATAATAAATCTTTTATATAATTTACTATTAATAATGAATAAATTTAATCCTATTAGAATGAA